CCATGCCAGAGCTATGCAGCTTGAGGAGTGGGATTTGGGGGGGGGATTTGAGAGCACTTATAAAATGAGATTCAGTTAATCACACCTGCTAAAAAGCAAGTTGCCATAATCACACAGCTGCTGCCTCTCTTCCCACATCATGACTTGAAGTGTGGCAGATTCCTGGGTAAGTCTTGTGGCTGGGATTGCTGCTAAACCCCATTGCCAAGTGGAACATAAAAACATAAAAACTGCCATGCTGGTTCAGACCCATGGTCCATTGGGCCAAGTAGCCTCTGACATCAGTAAGTAGTAGATGCTTTAGGGGGAGACTACATGAACAGGGCACATCAAGGGTGAGCTATTACCTGTTGTACTCTCTCTGGCACCAAGCATCATTGGTTTAGGGATTCACAGAAGTTTAGGGCTGGAAGGGACCTTGTGAGATGTCGGAGGATACATCCCTGATTCTTACTTCACAGCTATTTATGGCCTTACCCTCCATAAATATTTCTAATTCCTTTTTGAACCCAGCAGTACTATTTGCCCTACAAGCTCCTGTGGTGATGAGTTCCAAAATTTAAATGTGCACTAAATAAAAAGCACTTCCTCTTGCTTGTTTTAAAATTTTCTCCTGTTAATTTTAGTGGGTGCCCCCTAATTCTCATATTCTGGGACTTCATAGACTCATAGAGAAGTAGGGTTGGAAGGGACCTCCAGAAGTCATCTAGTCCAACCGCCTGCCTGAGACAGGATCATCCCTGTCCAGACAAGAGAAGCCCAGAAGCATGGGAAATACCTATATTAAAACACAGGCATAGCTATGCCTAAATCATCCCAGATCAGTGGCTGTCAAACCTCTTGTTGAACACCTCCAATGACGGAGAGTCCACACCTTCCCTAGACAGTCTATTCCCTTGCTTAGCTGTTCTAACAGTGAAGAAGTTTTTCCAGATATCCAATCTAAACTTCCTCTGTTGCAACTTCAAGCCACTGGTCCGCATCTTCCTCTCTGCAGCAAAACAGAAAAGGTGCTTTCCCTCTTCTTTATGGCAGCCCTCGAAGCATCTAAAGACTTCTATCAAGTCCCCTCTTAAGCGCCATGTCCACAAGCTGAACATGCCTAGTTCCTTCAGGATCTCCTCATATGACTTGCCTTCTAAGCTCTTGGTCATCTTTGTTGCTCACCTCTGGACCCTCTCTAACTTCTCCACATCCTTTTAAAAAATGTAGAGCGCAAACCTGTACACACTACTCCAGAGCCCTAACCAGTCACCATCTCCTCCCATGTGTTGCACGTAATGCTTCTATTGATGCATCCTAAAAATGCATGTACCTTTTGTGTGGCTGCATCACACTACAAACTCATATTGAGTTTGTGATCTACAAAACCTCTGAAATCCTTTTCCATAGTGCTGCCACCCAGGCAGATGTCACTCATTTTCTATTTGCGTTTTTTATTATTCCCCCTCCTCCCTCCCACCCCGAGGTGTAGCACCTTGCATGTGTCTGCATTGAACTTGCTTTCCAATCTGTTGAGATCCTCCTGAATTGAACTTGCATCCTCCAGCATGTTCACAGTCCTTCCCAGTTTCGTGTCACCTGCAATCTCGCTCCAGAAGCTTTTCATGACAGCATTCAAATTGTTAATAAATATGCTGAATAGCACCAGGCCCAGAAAAGACCCCTGTGGGACTCTGCTTGAAACCTCCTACCATTCTGATGTGGACCTGTTAATAAATACCCTTTGTTTGTGGCTACTGAGCAAGTTATCTATCCGCCCTGTAGTACCGTATTTACTTGAATACAAGATGAGGGTTTCCCCTACAATTAACATGGGGAAAAAAACCCTCATCTTACATTTGCATATAAGGAAACCTAATTAAATACACTTTCTATCATTTAACTGCTGCCAAAAGCAGCAGGTGCTTATTAATGGAAACTAGCTATGAAGTTGATTAAATGCAGCCAACACTGAGAAAAGCTATAAAACACATGGCCAATACGGAGCAAACATACTAACTGTCCTACCACAAGGACGGTTTGTTTTTGTTTTTTCCCCTGTGTGTATGTTCCTTAAAAAAAAATGTGTGGGTCTTCCTCCCACAGGGAATTGATGCAGAATTGATCCAGAATTGATGCAGTTTACTTCCCTTGAAACTACTGCAAATTTTGGCACAGATGCTCCATATGTACCCTCTTAAGCAGCACTTCTGAACCTATTTGCAAATATTACAACCTCAGCAGGGGAGATACCATAAAGCGGTTATCCCACAGAGGTCAGATCACCTTGAATGATCGCTCCAATTGTGTAGCGAAGAACGGAGACTTGTCCAATGTACTGCGGACAGCCCCCACAACTTCTCCAAGAGTCTACTATAGCCTCCCAATGGGAGGATCTTGACTACATGCCTATTTTATGGAGATGGGGGATTTCTCCCTCGCTTGCTTATTTGATCAGTTGGCTAAGGGCAAGCAAGACTTGGGGCCATCCAAACCCCAAGACCCCCAGGCTTGGGGTCTGTACACAGGATGCCTGCCATGGATTTGAGAGCATCTGAAACCTTAGGCTGAAGAGCCTGGGAGGGAAAATACTTGCTGGTGGTAGTGCCACACAAACCTGAATGACTGGGCTCTGTTCAGTGGATGAAATTTGGAACAATTTTTTTTCCCCATAAATCTAGGCTGGCTGCTTGTGACTGGCCTTTCCTCCTCCAGATGCTTACAAATCACCTTCCTTAGGATATGTTCCTGTAACTTCCCAGGTATTGAGGTGAGGCTAACTCATCTGTAGTTCCTACATCCTCCTTTTTGCCTTTGAAAAAAAAGAAGGGCACTACACTTGCCTTTTTCCAGTCCTCTGGCACCTGGCCTGTCTCCTACAACTTCATGACGATCCTTGCCAAGGGCTCCAAGATCTCCTTTGCCAGTTCCTTCAGGATCCTGGGATGAAGCTCATCTGACCCTGCTGACTTGAATTAATTCAAGCCCAATAAAAGCTCTTTGAAAGTCTCTTTTCTTATCTCCTCTCTCAGCTTGCCCCTTCCTTATCTAGATAATCCCACTTAGATGTCTGACAGCAGCCCAATGAAAACACCACTTGTGCTCCAAGCTCCTTAGACCTCCTGCCAAGAGCCTCATAGTCGCCTCTGATCTGTTCAGTGTCTTTCCTGGCAGTATCATTGGTGTCTACATGGTCAAGCAAGAAGGGGTCGTGGTCTGAAAGTTGGATGAGCTCTGACAGTCTCTCTGTGGCATTCTAAATTTAGGATCCGGGCAGGCAGCACACCTCCTGGGCCCCCAAATCCAGTGAATAACAGTTCTTTATTTACTTTATCCACACCCATCATCATTTTATAGATCTCTATCATAATCCCCTTTCAGTCTTCTCCTTTCCAAACTGAAAAGACCTAGTCTTTTAGCCTTTCCTAGCATGGTAGTAGCCCCAAGCCCCTGATCATCTTAGCTGTCCTTCTCTGTATCTTTTCTAATCCCACTAAATCCTTTTTAAGATGTGGAAACAAGAACTGCACATACTATTCAAGGTGTGGGTGCACCATGGCATCAGTGGTGCTTCCATTTTGTTTTCAATTTCCTCCGTAATGATACCTAACTTTTAATCGGCTTTTTTGGTTGCCACTGCACATTGAATCATGTTGGGTTTTGTTGCCGTTGTTTTGTTTTGTTCGACAGAACTATCTACAAAGTCTATTTCCTGAGTGGTGATGGTTGGTTCAGAGCCCAGCACTGTGCATGTACATATGACTCAACACCTCCCAATGGATGGTTTCCACTGGGATGCAGTGGATTTGGTTCTTTTCTGGTACAATGCATGTAGCTCCATTGACACAATGACCTCCAGTTGAGCCCCTAGCCAGGTAAGTTCTGAGCCTTGGGGCTCAGACTGACATACTGGCCATGGGGATCAGAGAAAATCCATGTTGGCAGCCCAAAAGTCCCCCAGAACTCTGTAGTTCATGCAGTAGCTTTGGAAAGAGTGGTACTCTGCGCATAAAACTGCATCAAAGCTCCATACCCACCAGGGCTCTCTAGCAGCACCGCAGGCAAGTGGACTGATAGGAGTCAATTCCCCCATCCCTCCATCCCATCTCATGAGGGCCACTCACAAGCAGTGCACAATCGTCCTCCCATCACCGCTCTCCTTCTGCCACTTCTCCACTTGGGCGAGTAGATGCAGGAAAGACTTCTTGGAGTCTGGTGTGTCTCTGTATGCTGACCACCTCAGGTACTGGAAATGCCGGACCATCAGGTGTCCTTCCTGTAACTAGAAGAAGCCCATCAATTTGCATGCATGACTGCCCTCTTTGATTTCCTGAGGGAGGCTTTGACATGTGAGAAGAGACATTAGGAAGCATTAATATTTATACAAGAGAGGAAAATCTCCCATTTCAGTTGTCTCTGCATCAGCTAGGCCACTTCATCTCCACCCTGACCTAAAGTGTCCCAGCCATCCCCATCGTCACCCCCAGGCACACACAGACATACATCTCTGCTTAAAGCACCTCAAGCTAACCAGCTACACCCCCTGCTATGCCAACCCCAGGTCCCCAGCCTTACACACCTCAGTCCTCACCTGCAATCACACCTGGTCTTGCATTCACAGGTGCCAACTGACTCGCACACAACAGACGCTCCAAAAAATATTAGGCAGAGATCACCAAAGTGAATTCATGCGCATTCACTGTAAACCAAGGAGCTCTTGAAAATGAGCCATCCAGCAAGGAGGCTAAGTGGCAAGAATGCGCTTTAAAACCCTGAGAATCTAGTTAGCTTTGGAATCTAATAAATTTAGCGCGTTCCAGAAGGAGAAGGATTACATCTACAATGCCTTGAGCCCAGCCTTTAGCTAGAGGGTTATGGGACTCAATCCCAACACACAGGGTAGAAGTACTCTGGGAATCAAGACTGGCTTATGCAGCGAAACACTGGGTCTAGCGCTCAAGGCGTACTTATGACTTCAGTGCCACGTGCACACGAGTGTGTGCGCGCACATATGCATGTACACGTGCACATGTGTTCAGAGGGAAGCATGTGCCAGAAGAAAAAGAAGAAAACAAACGCAGATTGCAGGATTCCCAGCAAATAACTGAGAATCAATTTGCTTTGACTTTTAGATACCTGGCACATTTGAGTTGGGCAGTTTTGCTCTGCTTCTAGGGCTCGCAATGAGACATTCCTGTTTCCCTACCCAGTGGTTCAGGCTGATGGCACTTTTATCTAGCACCTTGAATCCCACTGAACTTGGCAGAATCACATAAACAGGGCTAAGCAAGGCTTGCTTAACTTGTCACTGATGCGCCTGGAGGGTCCCCTTCCAACATAGATGCGAGTCCAGAGCAACACCAGTGATTTGTAGCTCTACACCAAGAGATATGACAGCAGAATTATAGTCCTTAGGGCTTAACTCCTCTCATCTTCTGTTACCCAGCACCTAGTATCACAGAAGCCCAGGCACACAAGAGCCCATGCTACACAGGGCAACACCACGGTCACACACATGCACACACTCACAATACCCCAGAGCTCAACATTACAGTTACACACACATTACTCTCTGAAAAGACATGGTTACAAAGCCCACACATGCTCTTCCGCAGGCACAGGGCAGCACTCAACAGTAACAATCAGACACGCAACATCAGTACATGCAAAGCAATTAATTTTCCAATATTAAAAGGAAAAGCATTTAAGAGAGGGGAACTGGCTCTGTCGGGATGGCAACATTTTAAAAAGCTGCACCGAATACAAGATAAAACTTTCCAAGCACAGATAACAGAAGGAAGATAAGAGAATTAAGAAGGCTCTTTCTGCTGCCCGGATTGATGATCCTAGCTGTTCATTTCACCCTGGGCTGCTTGCAAGTTCTAGAGTGGAGCTAAAGCTGATTTTCACAGCATTTAGCTTCCTCTCACTAGCCAGTTCACACCCAGGGCAGCACTGTGGAGAATGACCTTCCTGCAGTGATTCTGGGAGATGCCTTCAAGATAGGTGCTGGTAGGGAGTGGATAGTTTGGAGGCATTTGGTACCCGTTAAAAATAGTACCTATGGGCATGCATAGACGAAATGGAGGCCCTAAATTGAAGCGGTGGGTTTTAAAAAATGCCGCTTCAATTTAGGGCTGATTAAACCCCCGTGTCATGTACGCACCCCGCTGACTTACCTACCTCTCCAGCAGCGGGGAGGGGAGGGCAAGCTGCTGGTGGATGGAGAGGTGGGGCTGCAGAGATGAGGAGCAGGGTGGGCTGGTGCTTCCCCCTTGTGCTTCCCCCCAGGCAGCACCCACCCATAGGCACCTGGCTCAGGTGGTCCCAGGGGGGCATCACAGCCAGGGAGGGAAGCACCAGGCCCCTGCATAGCTCAGGCAGGCAGGCAGGCTCTGTGGGGAGGGGGGAAGATCAGGCTTACCGCTTTTCTTGGGTGGAGCTGCTGCCAGGCTGCCTGTATGGGCTTCCTGCAGAGCCGTGGCGCTGCACGGAGCCCAGTGCTTTGCTCCACGGGTGTAGGGCAGCAAACTAAAACTCCTCGAAGGAGTTTTAGTTTGCTGCACCCCAAGTCATTTAAGGTGCATTACACCGCCAAATTTCCTACAGCAGCTGGAATTAATGCACAATAACCTGCCGAGGCGTGCAAACACCGACACCATTAAAGTGGTGCGAAAGCATTTAGCCCGCTTTAAAGTGTTGTGCACACACGCCCCTCATTTTGTCCACACACAGTCTGTGGCTTCAGCAAGGAAACGAGCATGAAGTTGAGGGAGCTGTTTCAGTATTGCTCCAATTACACAGGACAGCAACAGGAGAAAGCAAAATGCACCTCTGACTTAACAAGCCCAACTGGTAGGCTCAGCTTCAACACATAAAAGAGGCTACATTAGACTTGGGTTTGTTCCAAGGCATGAGTAAATGTTAGGGAGGGACGGACTTCTTCCATGACTAAGTTCAGAGACCTATCAGAAAGACTGGATGCTTGTCTGAAATTTATTCAGACTTTCTTGGTCTCAAATTTAGGTCAGAAATCCAGCCAGCATAGGGCCCCTTGCATTATCTCAGCACCTCCATTTCCAGCTGGAACCCAGACATACATAGGTGGAATGATATGAAAGAATAAGTAGAGAGGACAAGAAAGGTGGCAACAAAAAAAAAAAAAAGCTCTGGGATCCTTTTGGAGGTTTGTTTGAAGGTCATGATCAGCTTTAACAGGAACTGTCACACCAGGTCAGACTTGAAATCCATCTAGTCTAGCATCCTGTCTCCAACAGTTACCGGCCCCAGATACTTTAGGATTAAGGCTTCGTGTACTATTAATGGGCAATTATTAAATAATCTGCATACAGAGAAGTGTCGTCCTAAATCCCATTAGTTCAGCCATCCCATATTTTATTCTAACCACAGACATAGAGCTCTGTCTAGGCTGACAAGCAGCCCTGGCCGTCTTGCAGCTGAGAATAGTCTCATCTTTCTCTCCATGTGCGGTGCAGCTTGGGGCACCGCTGAGAGACAGACAAGGTGAGTACCTTGTCTGTCTCTCAGCGGTGCCCCAAACTGCACTGCACATAGGCAAATGAGGTCAATGCACCCAGTTTTACTCCAAATTGTCTGTATAGCTCTGTTGAGGATTTACACTGTGCAAAACACCTCCCCTGGGGGAAAAAGGACTGAGATGCATTGTGCAGCTGCTCTAAGGTGCAAAACACGCGTTCAGTGAAATAGTCCCTCCTCACATGCACGAAAAGAAGCTCGAAGCTCCAAAGAGCCATGCTGGCCGATAGCCTTTCACTCATCGGGCTCCAAACGACCGGTCAGTTTGTGATGGAAACAATTCGTCCTATTTAACCTCAGACCCCAGCCAAAAGCTCACCCCACTGACTGACCACACTGCCAATCACTCCCATATGCTTCCTTCTAAGCCTTGTTGTTCTGGCTCATCTGGTGACCTCAACAAACACACGCGGCTCACTCTTGCGGTAACCCTTCTCCTGCTTAAAGATTTCAGTCATGTCACCTCCACACAGCCTGCACTCACAGTTAAATAAGCCCATTCTTCTTATTCTCCTCTCACAAGTAAGATCCTGTACCCCACACATTCCATTAATCACCCTGGCTGCCCTTTCTCCAACTTCACTATATTTTCCTTCATGTAATGGTGAGCAGAGCCAGTCGAGCATGAAAACCAGGTGTGCAGTGAAAGCTGCAGACAGAAGAAAATGAAAGGCCATGTAAATCTTTGCTTCATAGGAAAGCTGTTTTGTCAGGTCCCCTGCAACTCAGATTATAACTGAGAGTTGCTGACCTCAGGGTAGGGTACATATCAATCACAGGCTGGAGCAAGGAGGATCTAGCTCAACACATGGCAGTGGGTCTGAGCTCACAAAAAGTTATCTGCTCCCACTTTCAGGCTTCTGCAAGGGGGCAGAGACTCAAGGCAGCTTTGAAGCTGGGCTTCAAAGGACTCACTGCTGGGAGCGGAGGGCTGGGGTTACATCACTGGGGCTGGGAGGCCTTCTAGGATGGTTATGATACTCTAGGAGATGACTAATTAAGCAGAATGCTGTGCCAGCATCTAAAGGGGCATCCACCTAGTATAACAAGAGAAACTAACAGTATACTTCAGTGGGGTCCAACCTTTTTGGCACGTGCACCACAAATTAGCCCTGCACCCTTCTCACGTGCCTCTCCAATCTCCTTCTGCCCAATTTGCTGCTCTGCTTTCTGCTCAGTGCTCTGTGCTCCCTGCCTGATCTTCTGCTCTGCCTTCTGCTTCCTACCCTATCTGCTGCTGTGCTGCCTGCGCCCTCCCTGATCTGTCACATGCTGCACACACAGACTCTGTGGCCGGCCCTGATTTTCCTCATGCTATTCAGCTGGGGACTGGGGTTTCTTTTGGCAACGTTTCTGACAGTGGATATGAACATGTCATTCTAGACCTCCTCCAGGGCATCCCCTTCCATCTCTAACACATGAGCTGGCAAAGCTAGGCTAGCTTAAGAGTGTGCCTGGCACAGTCCCCTCAGAAGCAGCCTTTCCATGACTTCAAGATACAGCCTGGCTCTCTGAGCCAAGAGATTGTCTCAGAGTGGTCTTAGCACATACTAGACACAACTCCCAATGCCACGTTTCCTCGTGCCAAGCTAAGAAACTGTTCTCACCCGTGTGATATTCTGGACTCGGAAGAGGCGAGAAACAAGGTCCTCATCAGCCGATCCGGAAACATATTCTACTTCCATAGGGCCGTACTGCTGGAGTCCTGGCTCAGGCCAGTACTGTAAACAAGGCTGAAGAGAGAAAAGAAACAATTACCAATAATACAGCTTTGCAGAAGGTGTGAGACATGAGACACCATGCAGAGGCATGTGACACTGGGCTTTGCACAGAGGCAGGGGGTTTTGGTGCATTACACAGGGCACAATGGAAGAGTGCCGGGAAAAGGTGTGCAACAGAGAGCTCCAGAAAGGGGCACATGACACAGGGGATTGGTTTGGAGGGCTCCGAGATGGGGTGCTGAAGACACACTGTTATTACTTGCACAGTTAATAACCATGCTATGTAGAGCACATTGCTGGATGGAGGGGACCGTTATACAAGGACAAGTTGAAAGGCCCTCAAGTTCCAGCTGTGCAGCCCTCTTTGCACTTCAGCAGTGCAGGAAGTTGGGAACAGCTGCCTTCCTTGAACATGGGGTCTCCCAGGAAGCGTCAACCCACTGTCTGGGCACAGCACTGGGTTTCAGTTTTGAAGCCTACTGACATCAGTGAAACTATCTGCGAGTAAAAGCAGGAGAATGGGAAAGATGGACCCAATGGCACAGGTTTAGCATGAACTCTAGCTCCACTGAAATCAAAGAGAGCTCTGCCATTGATTCTACTCAACGGCCAATATTTTCTTCCATCCCCAGCTGCCAGCCTCATCTCTGCACTGTCTCCTACTCCAAGAAAAAGCAAATTCCAGCTCAGAAACAAGCTCAGCATCCTAAGGCAATGCTGATGCTCCAGGAGGGAGTTACTGAGTGTGATGGCTCCTGGCTTTGCTCTCCCTCTCACCCAGAAGCACAGCTGATGTATTGTTCTATTCAAGGGTCATGGATGCGATTGTTTTCACACCACGGCAGCCAGGAAACCAGCATCAATACAAAATATATGATGTTTGTCATTGCACTTTAACAGAACATTTAGCATTTCAGGGCATCCAACGGCTTGGGCCTAACTGCATGGCAAATGTGTTTGAGAAATAATTGGTTATTAATAGGGGCTATAAATCTCCATGATCTCTAAGCTTTCTAGACTCTGAGCTATAATTTGGATATTAAAACTTCCTTCGGCGAGACATAGTTCAAGTGAGGGATATACCCTCTAAGTCACCTTTCAAAGCTGCCTGCTGTAAAGGCTGATTTACTAGCTGTTGGTCTTCAACTGGTAAACATTTAAGATCTGGCTAAATATCATTACACAGACATCCCCAAAGAATAAATGTCCAGGGAGAGGCAGGGCAGCATAATGAAGAAATACGGCAGTCTCCAGGTTGGGAAGTGTGAGAGAAAGGTACATGCTTGCCATTGCAACTTATTGGAGACAGGGCAAGGGTTGGCCTTTATTCAAAGGGGAAAGAACAAAATGATGAGGCTCCACTGGCAATGCAAAGTGCAGCTGAGGGGTGGGGGGGCAAAGCACAGGGTAAGCAGGGAGGAGGGGAAATACAGGGGTGCCTGCAATACTGCAAAGGAGACTGGAGGGCTCCAATTCCAGGCTCTGATGGGCTGGCAGAGGAAGGAGGGACTCTAATGTACCAGCAAATGTCTATGTCTCAATACTGAAACGTGTTCCTGGTTCACTTGTGATGTATTCAAGCAAGAGAACAGCAATGGCACATGTGAAATAGAGCACTGCACACAACATTCCCTGTCCTCAGCACCCCATAAGTATTTCTGCAGGGGCTAACTTTAGCAAACCTAACCCCTATGTTTTCTGAAACCTGGATTTATTGTCTGCTACCAACTGATGATCCAAAATAGATCCCCCCTGCCTCTAAAATTCCACTGTGGGTGATAAGAAAGGTAACTGAGCAGGATTCTCCTCACTTCACACTGCACTGAAATGGATGGATACAACATATACCAAGGGTCCAATCCGGCAATGTACTAAGTGCCTTCACCTCTGATAGGAAACAGTGAATAGCAGAAGGGTGCAGAGCAGAGGACCAGAGAACTTGACCTCTAGCCCAGGTTCTGCCACTGACCTGTTGGGTGGCCTTGGGAAATTCACCTCCCCCCTTTCTGTGTCTCAGTTTCCCCATCTGTAAAATGGAGACAGTGGTACTCACGCATTTCTGTAAAGCATTTCAAGACCTAGGGTTGAAATGTGCTATACAGGAACCAAATTACCCTCTCTTTTCCCCTGCGTCTCTCCAGCAGCAAGATCCAAAGGAAGCTAAAAAAAAGCTGTAGTCACAACATTGGGTTGTACAAAGGCCTATGTTTCATTTCACAGACGTCAGAGGTAGAAGAGGCCATTCACACTCCTACACTTCTCACCCGCCAGAGCAGAGCTGCTCAGTCCAATGCTAAGATGTCCACATGTGGTGAAAGATGTATCACCTAGCAAACTAGACTGTGGACTCCAAGGAGCAGGAAACCAATGGGGCCTTGATGTACAGCTGTGGCTCTTGGGTGGTATGGTAATGCAAACCGTAATGGCTCATTAATATTCACCTCCCTTAGGAAAGCATCTCAGCTCAATGGAGTCCCCTCCCAGAGCGTCCCTCAATGTTCAACTTCTATTTATTTTCACCACATTTTAATGTCACACCTCAGTGTGTTGCCTTTGTCTTTGTAGAATTAGCTCGACTCTTCCGAATAAAGGTCAGTAAGTACATATACATGTAATGTCTGTATGCATGCATATATGTATATGTATATACACAGACACACATATATTTCCCTCAATTTAGCAAAGTGAGTGTGTCAGACAAGGGGAGAGTGTCACTTCATCTGGGGCACCATTATTCTACTCATCTGCCTATTTCCCATGAACATTACAATTGCAGTTTTGGGTCATTTACATTAAGTGTCTGATTTCAACTCATAAAATAATCCAGTTAATGAAGTCTTCTCCAGACATCCATTAAGAGTCTATAATGCTAATTTTATGTAAAAATCCAATAAGTTTCTTTGTCAAATTAACATTACAAACCTGTAATGGGCTCTTAAATCCGCTCTGGCCTCAGCAGGAATGTTCTAGGAATCCCTGTGCGGGGATGGTAAACCAAGAGAACCGAAATAGGTTCAAACACCACTTTCCATCCCAAGGCTGTGTGCTGTGTTTCCATCATTATAATGCCATTTGGTGCCCTCTCTAGAGTGGATGCGTGATGGACGGCACATCCTGAATAGCCTGACATATCACTAAATCCACAGGAAGGGCCTTATTAGTGTGCACTGATCTAAGCAGCAACATTCCCAGTCTTCATATGATCTTTACTGAATTACAAGGTATTGAGCAGGGATTGAATTGCAGCCTTCTCCAGACTGGAGCACAGAAGCTGGCTAATAGGGCCCAGGATTGCCAAATAACAATCTAGGACAGAGAATGGAGACAGAAATCAAGGCTAAATAGAGAGGAGCAGTCCAGCAGCTATTGCACTGGAGTAGAAATCAGAGGAGCACAGTTCTCAGCCAAATACTGACAAAGACTTTCTGTGATCACAGACAGGCCACTGAATCACTCTGTGTCTTCTTCCTCTCTATCAAACCAGAATGAAAGTAGTTCCCTTCATTTTGTGTAATTAACCTTTGAGCTTCTGCAGGTGGTGACTGGTAATACATGTGTACAAGGGGACTCACATACTGGGTAGGGTACAGCGTTACCCAAATGAGATAAAAATTCCACCGCCTACCCCCACTCCAGCACTCAGCTTATTGCCCGATTCTCCTCCCAGGAAAGGAGTTGTCTGTGTATGTGCTTTGGAAGTAGAGGTCCTGGGTTCATTCCTCAGCAGTGATCCTGACAGGGATTTACCAATACTGATCATTAAAGCAGCAGAGGAGTTTAGCGGATGGAATGCAATGGCCAGGATTTGCTTGCCACAGCTAGTGGTATAAGCTCTCAAAAGTCTGATGAGCAGGTAGAGCTAAAGGACGTGCATCAGAACCACTCACCCAGGCAGAGTTGGACTGGTTCAGCTGGTTAAGCATGATGATGGAGGTGCAGCCGTAGTCATACACCAGCCTCCAGAAGTCTGTCACGGTGTTCTGCAGTGGGTGCAGGGTGACGATGAAGGCAGCGCTTTTGGTGTAACTCTAAAAGGACAGAGGGAAAGCACAGACAGGATAAGACCCACCAACCTCTTTAAAGCAGCACAGCTGGTAGGGGCAAAGACAGCAGAAATATGCCCCCAAAAGCACTCCAAAAAAAGGATGGTTTTGTAGTTAAGGCACTGGACCAAGACACGGGAGATTACGGGTCATTGCCCAGCACTGCTTCTTCTGTAACCATGGACCTCCCAGACCAAACCTCATGCAGGCACCTTCCCTGGACAACTCCTGAAAACCATTGGGCCTTCTTCATTTAGTCACTGGTAGGGTCCAGCTGACCTCCATGGTGACCAGACCAGGCGTCAAAACCCCTATTACAGTGAAAGGCACCATAGTGGGGCGAAGTTGACCAGCTGGCACCACACCATACATAGTGTATTCCAGCCTGATTCTGCTCTTACCCAAACCAAATATGCATTGGCTTGATTTTACTGATTTCCACGAAGCTATTCCTGATTTACACTGGAATACAGAAAATCAGAATCAGGCTCCAGAAGATTTGGCCCCATTTCAAGGTGGCCTTTTAAGGCTGGGGGTTACTTAAAAAGGGTGGCTTCTCAGACTCATTCCACACAGCAGGACAGACAAGTACAAGGGGCCAGATCATTTGCTAGTGTAAATCAGGAGGCTGTATGGACTTCAGTGGTGCTGGTTTAACTGACATCAGCTGAATACCTAGCCCAAGGACCTTTGCCGTGCTGAGCCCAGTGCTTTAGGACCATCAGTTACAACTCCCTAACTCTCAGGCCAGGATGTGGTGCTTGCAGGAGCCACCTATAGCAGCTGCCCACACTCAGAGGGACTGTGATCGGCCACTACACCAGCATTCAACACACTGCAGTCAGGTCTGTTCCTCCCCCTCCCTGCCCCATCACATCTCCCCTATACTGGGCCTAACCATCTGGGGCTCTGACAGGAGCTACGTATGGGAGCTTCTGGCATGCCAAGAGTACCTCTAGCTGTTTTCTGCAACACTCAGGATACACAGAGACACAGATGCTGAGGAACCCCATTGTGATCTCATGCTGCTGTAGATCAACAATGACTCCATGGAAATTAACAGTGACATCAGTGGAAGTAAAAAGATGATTGGGCCCAGAAGATCAAAGAGGCATTTCTTCATTTCAGACTCATGCTCAGCAAGCCAGAAGTTAAAAAAAAAAAAAAAAAAAATCCCAGT